AATTTTTATATATGAAACAATAAATATATATATATATATATATATATATATATATATATATATATATATATATATATATATATATATATATATATGAATATTTGCAATTGACATTGTAATAATACAGGCCATAAAATGTGAGTTATATATTCATCTCAGCTCTCAAAACCAATGTACGTCAGCCCAGACTTATCCGGCCCATCCGTTAACCGCTAATATAGTGGTTAAGATCCGGCCCGGATCATAAACCGGCTTAGTAGGCCCCACTGTTAAGAGGAAAACTCACTACTCGCTCAGCTAAGCTGTTTGCTGCGTTGTATCCGACGAGACAGGACCGCACGTGAGAGAAACAGAGACAGGGTGGCAAACGCCACGAGATGAGATCTAGGCCGTCCGATCCCTACTCCAGAGCTGTCCGTCAACCTACGGATGTTGTATTCTAATCGCCAGCTCATCACCGGCCCGAATACGATCCGCCATCACTTTCCATGTGCATGTATGTGGTCGTCATGTGAACTCTCCGCCTCCGTCGTTGCTCACCATAATCTAAGCCTATTCCCACCGGCTTCACCATCTAAAAAATACATACGTACAATAGATATGGTATTTCCATGATATGTGCCTTTCGATTCGCATGTACCATATTTCGGTCATGTTTCATTTGTCGTACACGAATGCTTTTCTGTTTTCGACTAAATAATATCTTATTTATTTTAGGAAATTACAACAAAATCTCCATATTTTAGTCAAATGCTCTAAGATAAACAAAATCTCCATACGTAAATATGTTCTAGTCGCCGTACCATAAACCTCCGGAACATGTTCTGCAGGAATAAAATACCGCGACTATCGACCTTCAAATAGCACAAAACGACGCTCCCCACGTTGGCATTCATCCCAACAAGAGTCCGCATAAAATTCTTTAGGTTGGATCAAATCTGACAGTAAAGACCATCGATCAGCAGATACGAACGGTGTATGATGCGTTCGGCCTACGAACAATTCATGGTGACGTCCATAAGAGAACCTTCCTAATCACATTAGGTCAAGTCAACCATTGGGTGCTCGACCCGCATAAATACGGCCCCTCTCGCTCCTCTCGCACCCATCACTGCCTCCTTTCTCTCCCTCTTCCAAGCTGAGGCGTGGAGTGCTCCAATCGCGGAGAGAGATCGATCACGCATCCCTAGATCGGTACATCCGTAATCTCGCATCAATAGTTACTTTTTCTCGCTTCTCTAAATCAAATAATTTCGGCCTTCTCGGATGGCGTTGCATTTGCTTTTTGTTTTTCTCCCGGTCTTACTTCTCTGAAGATGTGTGTTCTCTCCGTTCTTTCCGGCCGATGAACGTGGTTTCTGATCTTTTATTTAAGAATCGGTGGGAGCAGCAGCAACATTTACCTTGTTGGTTTTCGTGTTTTTGATCTATTCGTGCACGGTTTGGCGTCCTGGTTACAGATCTGAAGAAGGTAGGCTTGATCCATCAAACTTTCAGTTCTCAGATCTGGTATTTAGGATAGTCCTAGCACCTTGATCGATTGTCCGATTGGCGAAAGGCCCCACCTTTTGCCAGCTTTGCCTTTACCAAATGAAGTTAGTCCGTAAATTTGATCTCTAGTTAGCTTTTTGTATCCGGTATTCTCGTCGAGCCTCATGGATTATTTCGATGATTCTGGAATTTTTCATCTTGCCTGTGATAGCTTAATAGCTTCACATTGTATTATGTGTAACCAGTGTTTCTCTAGCAAATACGAACTCTTTCTTGAGAGAAATGGATTAATGACATGCAGTTAAGGATTTGTTCTTTCCCTGTAGATCTCGGATAGATTAAGTCTTGCCACCTGGTAAGGTTGCTACTTTGCAACTGTTTGACCGTGGCACGAAGCATGTAAACAATCTCTCGTTTTTCTGTGCTAAGCCCGCGTTGATCCTCTCCAGATCCCATGTTTGAGGGAGCGTCATGCACGGGGCAGCACTTTTGTGTATTTTATGCACATCACTATAATATGTTATGTTGTTCAACTGCCCTCTACAGGGTCGACTTCGAAGTTGTTACATCACTTAATAGCTAAATTTTCTGGGTTCTTGATTTTTGTACCTCTTTATTCAGATAATAAACAACAAAAAACATATTTTATGGTCGTAGATAATTTTCTGTAATTATCCTCGAGAAAAAGTATGCCCTCAATAAGAAATCCACAGACTCATGTCGTCATTGGAGCTATCCCATGGGAGAAAAACAAATAAATAAATATAAAGACGTAATCCTAATTGAATAACTCGCTTTTCCATCTCCCTATATGCAGTTAATTTGGTGAACCGATTGCAAAAATGGCTGCCGTAGCTAATGTTTTTATTTGACCAGTTTATTCTTCTAATTAGTTGATTGGATAACAACGATAGGGTGGCAGTCACTTTTTAAAGTTTTCACCTTTCAAATAGATAGTTGATTTGGAATGTTGAAATTTTCATTTTATATTCTTTTTGAGAAGTTAGTTCTGGCAAGCATTAGCAATTCTTGGTTGTTCTTTCTGTCTATATCAGGTGGATAATCTAATATTCTAAAGAGTCACAGGTTACAAATTTAGTGTTTCTGTGGCATAAAATGTAGTGTTCTGCTGAGCTCATAGATTGCTTCATGTCTTCCTTTTAGGAAGCCATGGAGGATCAGGTTAAGCACCCGACAGTGGTCCAGAAGTTTGCTGGCCAGTTCCATCTTAGAACTAGCTTTTCTCAGGATCTACATGCTCGGAATCGCAGCTTCTATGGCCCGTCTTTGTATGGGAATTCCTTCACAACAGGAAACTATATCAATGGGGGTTTTCAGAAATCAACTATGCAGGCTTGCAATGCTAGCTGTGGTATCCCCACTATGTCATCTGTGTTGCCTGTTTTTGCCAATGCTCCTGCTGAAAAAGGTTTTACAAGCTTTGCTATAGATTTCCTTATGGGTGGAGTTTCTGCTGCAGTCTCTAAGACTGCAGCTGCTCCAATTGAACGTGTGAAACTACTGATACAGAATCAGGATGAGATGATCAAAACTGGTCGTCTTTCTGAACCTTACAAAGGGATTAGTGATTGCTTTGGCCGAACAATCAGAGATGAGGGTGTTGCATCACTTTGGAGAGGGAACACGGCTAATGTCATTCGTTATTTTCCAACTCAGGTAAGTTCTATCCTTTGGTGCTATCTATAACGCACTCTAAATTCAGTAGACTGTTTTAAAAATGTCTCTTATAAACTATTAACGTCACATAGAGTGATTCACATTATCTAGATTCTCCTGGTTTAAGTCCATTCTTGTACCAAATTCTAGAAATTAGAACTTGTTTAAGTGGCAGATCTTAGGCAAATACTATGTTTGTTAGATTTATCATGTAGATTGTATACCGAATAGGTAATTCATAGCTGCTCTTCATGGTTAAGCTCTTCTTGAACCCACATGTCACATGTTCTTTTTTAGTGGTTGATTGACTTATCAATGTACTAGTGTAGATTGAGATTATTAGATTTGATGGATATCAGAAAGTGTATTTTGTTATTACAAACATATGATGAATTGCCATGTTGTCATAATTCGGCACAAGCAAATGTTTGATGAGGATGGAACATCAGTGAATTGAATTAGCTTTTCTTTGGCTGCTGATATATGCTCAGTTTGTCTCCTTGCCTCTTCCTTTATTGCGAGTATTATTAATTTTTTAAATATAATTTTTTAAATATTTCATGAATTCTTTCTTTCCTATAGAAGGTGAGCTTTGGCTTATGATAAGATTACTCTTCTGTGACCTGGGTAATCCCTTTAAGTGGGTTAGGCTACATATATTTAGCGAAAGACATGCACTGGACCATTTTTTAACCTTTTCTTTTCTCTTCCTGCATCGAGAACAATTATCTGATGCCAATCTTATTATAAAATTTGGATGTGGAAGTGTGTCTAGATAATCTGACTCGATGTAATATAGATTTTCCATGTCTTCTCTTTCTTTTTTTAATTATACTGTTCACAAGAATCTTATTAGCTTAGTTTTGTATGCTCCAGTCCTCTTCACTTTGAACTGAACACCTATATATTGCAGAGAGTAATTTGTTGTACAAAAATGGAAAACTATGGATTGTCATAAGTTTATTACTTTTGAATATAATAATTGATTTTGTACAACCTGGGCTTTTTGTTGTGTCAATCATACTTGCAAAAATCTGACTTGATGTAATATTGATTTTCCACGGGTTCTCTTTCTTTTTTAATGATACTGTTCAAAAGAATCTTATTAATTTAGTTGTTTTTGCTCCATTCCTCCTCACTTTGAACTAAACATCTATATATTGAACAGAGGATTTACTTATACATAAAAATGGGCAACTTTGGAGGATCATTTATTACTTTTGAATATAATAATTGATTTTATACAATATGGGCTTTTTGTTGCATCAATCATACTTACAAAAAATCTGACTCGATGTAATATAGATTTTTCATGTCTTCTCTTTCTTTTTGAGTGATACTGTTCAAAAGAATCTTATTAGTATTTAGTTGTTTTTGCTCCATTCCCCTTCACTTTGAACTAAACATCTAGATAGCAAACAGAGTATTTCGTCATACAAAAATGGAAAGCTTTGTATTTTCATAAGTTTATTACCTTTGAATATAATAATTGATTTTCTACAATCTGGGCCTTTTGTTGTGTCAATCATACTTACAAAAGACCTCTTGCAGGCTTTGAACTTTGCCTTTAAGGATTACTTCAAGAGAATGTTCAATTTTAAGAAAGACAAAGATGGATACTGGAAATGGTTTGCTGGAAATCTTGCTTCAGGTGGTGCAGCTGGTGCTTCCTCTCTGCTTTTTGTGTATTCTCTAGATTATGCCCGTACACGTTTAGCAAATGATGCAAAAGCAGCAAAGAAGGGAGGTGAAAGGCAATTTAATGGTCTTATTGATGTGTACCGAAAGACCATGCAATCAGATGGTATTGCTGGACTCTACAGAGGATTCAACATTTCATGTGTTGGGATTATTGTGTATCGTGGTCTTTACTTTGGAATGTATGACTCTTTGAAGCCTGTACTCCTCACAGGAAATCTCCAGGTCTGCATTTTCTAACTTTTGCAAATTCTATCATCTCTTCATTTTTTTTTGTCCCATTGGTGCAAATTGAATTTTAGCATTTTTAACATTTTGGTTCTCTAGCATTACGAGTGACAGTATCCAGCGAAGGAATTGGGCATGATTGCAACTTGTCTCTATATTTTGGCTGGATTGGATAATTTTTATTTGAATTTGAAAGTTTTAATTAAATTACGTGACCTTTTCCAGCTTGATCGTGGTTTTGGGCCATTTCATGAATTCCAAATTCTAAAGTTTGTTGCTGTACTATGGCTAAAAATTGATCTGTTGCCGACCGCTGACCCATTTACATGCCATAATGAATTGCAGGATAGTTTCTTTGCAAGCTTTGCTTTGGGTTGGTTGATCACAAATGGTGCTGGACTTGCATCATATCCTATCGATACCGTTAGGAGAAGAATGATGATGACATCTGGGGAAGCCGTCAAGTACAAGAGCTCCTTGGACGCTTTCTCCCAGATCTTGAAGAATGAGGGAGCCAAGTCACTATTCAAGGGTGCAGGTGCTAACATTCTTCGTGCCGTTGCGGGTGCAGGTGTGCTGGCTGGTTATGACAAGCTGCAGCTCATCGTCTTCGGCAAGAAGTATGGTTCGGGTGGTGCTTAAGGATACATATCATCCTTCCATGATGACGAAAATGGAAACCATTTTTCTTTTTGAGATTACATGCATCTCTTGATGAAGAATTATCAAATTTGAATAAATCTTTTATAGAGAGAGTTTTCCCTCCAATTTTCTTTTGCTGGAGATTTGTTCTCCATAACTTTGATTATTTTCAGATAGCGAATCCGCAAAACTATTTCTGTTGAATGACATTAATGAAGTTGTCAAGAGATGAATCAAATGGTGTTTTTCTTTGGTTTGACTGTAGTGATTGATAACAACTTGAGTTGGTTTCTTCCTAGACATAAACTTGAATTCCCGAACCATCAAAATGTGACAGTGAAAACAGAGGCATGAATTTTATTCTCAGATTGCAATAGTTAATGTTAGTAACCTCAATGATAAGTGTACGACCCTGATTGAATCTCACATATGATAAGTACATCAGATGATTTTAATATAAATGTTTTTATTTACAATTATTTAGTCCAATCGGATTTGGTAATTAACAGATTTATTCCATTTATTTCAACTTGGAATTCCGATTGCTCGATTTCACATCTTAGAATGTGTCTTATTAAACTTTAAACAAATAATCAAAAGATTATTATTATTTTTTAAATCTCAAGAGATATTAAACAAACAGGATATCTTTTTTTTTTTGTTTTTTGGTGGCTGCTTCTCCTATGAACAAAACAAATAAACATCAAAGGCGTCTGCTCAGCCTTCAATTCCCACCATCGCCTCGGACCTCCAGTACTTGGCCTTCTCAAACCCGTTGATGCAGTACTGGAAGTCGTCGATGGTCCGATCGATCTCCTCGTCGGTGTTCATCACGAACGGCCCCAGTTGGGCTACCGGCTCGCCCAGCGGCTCCCCGCCGACGAGCACGAACCGGAGGGGCTTCGCCGACTTGTTCCACACGTCAACCCCATCACCCTGCCCCAGCAGGAGAAGATTGTGCGGGCCGATCGGGGCGGACTTGTCGCCGCCGAATGCCCCCTCGCCTTCAAGCACGTACACGAATGCGTTCCAGGCGGATGGGATGGGTTGCCGGAGGTGCGCCCGGGGCTTCAGCGTGAAGTCCAAGTACATGGTTGGGGTGCGAGTGTAGACCGGGGATCGGACTCCCATCGATTCGCCGGCGATGACTCGAACCTCGACGCCGTTCCCGGAAGCACAAGCTATGTCCTGGCTCTGCATCTCTTGGTACCTCGGCTCGATCCTGGATGACATCGCAGGCAAAATACATGTGAGGGAAGCTTTTCTTTCTCTGTTTCATCAGTGGAAGAAATGAACATGAAGAAAGCTGGTCGAGAAACACAAGGGAAGCAATTCCAAAAGGCTTTTCTGGTAAGCTAACACGATCCTTTTTCTCTATCACTAGGAGTTCGAAAGAGACTGGTTGGTTGAAAGTCCAGCTCGCATGATTTAGAAAGCATGTTTGGGTCGGCATAAGCAGAATCAAATGCGGATTGCATGCCAATAGTGTCCAAACAGCATTGATGGCTCGTCTGCAAGTGTGCAAAACAGGGCTCGAAGGACAAACCGTAAGGGTGGTTGGCTGTCTTGGAAGATAAAAAATGTCACCACACGGAATCTATCATAAATTCCAGTCCGACCGATGTGAGGTGAATGGTCGAAACAGTAGATGCAGATCAATATGAGCTACAGAGTCTGCGGACCAGTTATGAAAAGGAGGTTTGAACTAGTAATCGTCTCTCAACCACCGTGACTTTTATCTCTGTCTGAATCATTAGATTGAGACTTCCAAGTTACCCTACTAGAGCAGATATGAATGGCCCATTCACTTGCTGGTCCAGATTCCACAGTTCCTGTGTGCTAAGAAAAGTGCTAGCGGAAATAAAGAAAGGGAATGAATGATACATGGAAAGGAGAAGCTTCATTCCCATGTTCATCTGCTGATGGTGATGGAAAAGCTTTTGGGTAGACTCACATTTTGTTCTTGGAGGACAGATTAACCCAGAGCTGCAGGCCTTTGGATGTGCCTTTCCCTGCCGGCATCTCGGAGTGCACAATTCCCCTTCCTGCCGTCATCCATTGCAGGTCGCCCGCCTTTATTGTACCCTTGTGGCCTTCAAAGTCTTCGTGAGTCACAGCACCCTGCAATTTCCAGGAAGATGAGCTCTCAAATCAACGTACATTTTCCTATCGTGACAGAGAAGAGGCATACTTAAAAACATTATTAATGTTGTAGTTCACGAGAACTTGGTTCATTCTCTCCTAGAATCCAAGTTGATCGTTAGCATGAACCACAAACAAATTGTTCTATTGGTGACATGCTAATTGAAGGGTTCTACTTGTATGTGGTGAAAAGCTGCAAAAGAAAGAGAGATTAAATCGTACCTCTAGCATGTAGGTGACTGTCTCAAAACCTGAAATTGGGAACAAAAGAAGCAGCAGACCAAAAATTGGAAAACAGTGGGTCAGATTTAGAATGTAAAATCATAAGACAAGCAGCTTATATGAGTCCTTTGATACCTCTGTGAGGATGATCAGGAAATCCTGCAGGAGCAGTCACTGCAACACAGATGAGAGAGGAAGAAACATGTCACCAGGCTATGACTACCTCTTAACGACAATCTCTTCATACCCAACCAGAAAACTCACCTGAGAATTCATCCAGAACGAGGAAAGGATCAAAGTACCTCAGCTCAAACCTGAAAGCACAAAAAAGAAGGAAGCCAATGTGAAAGAGGAACCTTTCCAAAGCAAAACAAGGATCTCAGAGCTCATCCCGGTGATCACCTCCCAATGCTTCTCCTGACGACGGCGCCGTCTCCTTCGTGTTGCGGCTTGGCCAGAAACTTTCTGACGACATGCCGAGGCTTCTGGAGAACACAGGGGACCACTGTCTCCGCCATCTCTGTGCACCAAATTTGCCTGGGAACTATAGAAGATGATCTCAGATCTCTTTTACTTGCCCAACTCCTGTGCTATTAGGTAGAGGCAGAGAGGAGCCAGAATCCATGGCACTTATAAGGTGGAGGCCGAGCGCTGTTCCGTTGGAGGGTCAAAGTGACTACCCCGTCGGACATTACGAGACGGCGTTTGCTTTCGGTTGCAGGTCATGGAAGCTGTCACTTCCATGAGTTGTCGTCATGCTGATGCACCGCTGATTTCAGCTTCCCCGCCTGTATTTGATCATGTGGAGGCATCCACAATACGACAACACTTTTTCTTGCAAAATATATGAAATCGATTAGCGAACAGAGAAGGCAGAGTTCGCACAATCATATATATATATATA